TTGCATTTTTAAGTGTTCTGTACACACATCTTGCACCTAAGATGGGGGGGGGGGGGGGGAGGAGAAAACAATTGTTTTAAAGCAACTTTTCCGTTTGGAACTTACACATTCCCAAATTAATGCTCCATTCCTAATTTTCAGGCTCCAATTGGTAAATTGCAGTTGCATATATGAAAAGCCAGTAACTAATGAAGGTAGAAAATTCCAAAACCTTACCAAGATACAACAGATTCAGAGAGCTGAAATAATTTCCAATAACTGACAACACCCAAAGGAAAGTGATTGCCTGAGCCAAAAAATACCAAATAAGTTTTTAAAAACTGCAAAAAGAGAATAAAATTGCAATACTGTAGAATGTCTTATCTACCAGAAAAAAGGTTCTAAATTCTTTTCCAGATGAAATCTCATAGAACTTCGATAAAATGGAGTTGAATTTTCTGCATAACCAACTATACGTTGAATCTGATATCATAATTGCACGTACATCAGGAGGAGCCCTGAAGAATCAAAACAAAGGAACATATAATTATCAGCATATAAAGAAATTAAATCAAAACAGGAGCAATTAATTAACTTGTTGTGAAGCCATTGCTTGAAAATTAGTAATTACCAATCGACAAGTCCAGCCCCAGTAGACCAAATGAATAGAATCAACATCAAGATCATGGAAATGTGACACAAAAGGGAAACAAAGTTGTACTCCACAACTTCAAAAAGGAACCAAATTATTGTGAATCCAACTAGAATTGCAGCTGATATTGTCTTGTCCCTCCATAGTAGAATATCCGCAACTGTCGAGATATTAAAAGGGGAAATAGAAGTCAATTTAGTGGGCGTTTGGACATAAGAATTATGAAATTCTGAAAAGAAAAAAAAACTCTAAGTGAAAATGGAATTTGAAAATTAGATTATGTTTCGACATGAATATAATTTGAAACTGTTTTTGAATTTTTGTAAGTGATTTGAAGTGAAAATTTTGAAAAATACCTTTTTGAAGTTTTTAGATTCGAAAAACAACTTCAAGTGAAATTTTCATGGCCAAAATGCTGGTTCCGAAAAAAAACGAAAATCTTCTAAACAAAAGTGAAAACATTTCTATGCCCAAACGGGCCCTTAGTTGAAACTTTTTGTAAGTCTCTTGTGAACCTAACAAAGAGAAAGGCCCTTTTAAAAAAAAAACAAAAACAAAGAGAAAGGACATGGCTGAAAGGCTTTATATTAGAAATGCAATAAGAAACAATGTCATTTTAGGAAAAAACGTTTCCGTCCTGAAAAATAGTTTTCGACGATTGATTGGTGAGTGAAAACTATTAAAAAATAATTTAAATAAACAATCAATAATAATAATAGTAAATTAAAGATTGTTTTGATGAACTATTTTTGAGTACTAGTTAAAGATTAATAATTATGTCTAAATATTTTGAAAATTCAAGATAGTTATAAGAAAACAGCGCATAAGAATATTTCCGTTAGAAAATATTTTCTGGTTACTAAACACAAGAAAATGAACTCCACATTAAACCTCTTTCAGTCTTTTGTACCAAACACACCCAAAAATTTAAAAAGGGCCACCTTTTCCTCCTCCAAGAATTGCATGAATGGGTCTTTGACGAGCAAATAATCTTTTGGGAGGTGCTGAAGTTGAAGGGAGGGGATCATCAGAATAAATCGGCATGATATATAAATTGAGGAAAAATCGATATTGAACAGATGTTAATATCTAAAAACAGATGATGATAGAGTTGGAACAGTTGAGTTTTTATTAGTAGTTGTAATTCAAAAGCTAATTAGTTGCTAGCTAATTAAGAGAAGCAATACAAGCAAAGAAAGGAATGCCTTTAGCATGGCATGTAATATTTGCTTTTCATGAACTTTCCCTTTTGGGTAAACTCTTTGTTGTTGGGCAATTGTTGCTTAATGTTCTAACCCATTCAATTGCTTCAAAAGTTTATGAATTGAACGATGTGGATGTAAAAGTTGGCCTTTTCTTTTGGCTGTTACTTTTTTCCCTTTTCCAGGTTGAGGGACATTGAAAAATTCGGTGATATTCGAATCTTTACATTGATAAAATGTATGACTACGATTTTTAAATAAGCTACCACTTATTTCTCAAAGAAGGCAAAAATTTCTAGCTATGTTCTCTCTTTAACTCGACGTATCATTTTCTGTCGTATCCATATATATTACTTGGTCAATACTGGGAAAAACTATCTAAATTCACAATTTCAACCAAAACTAGCCAAAACAAAATATCTAGTAAAAATGACATTGTATAGCCGCTCTCAAAATAATAGCAAAAAAATGCATTATTTTTTTAAAATTTTGTGTATATACATACATTATGTATGTTATAAACAAAAATTATACAATATAAATATTATCAAGTAATAACCAAATAATAACCAATATAAATCTCGACGTATGTTTATACATTTTTTCGGCTAACGAATATAAATAGTTTCTGGCGCGGGTTAAAAGTGATAATACCCCGAATATCTACTCAAAAAGGCCCAAATGTCATTTTAATCCAAAACAATTTCAATTAATGTCAGTTTCTCTTCACTCTCCTTTTTATTACTCTAGGATGCTCTTTACTGGTATATTACAACTTGTAGGTTATTTCAATTTGCTCGTGTATGAAGAGAGCCTTAATTCAAATATAGCTAATAGCATTTCAATCTGCAAGCTAATGACATAAATTCAAGTACAAAAAAATTAGAAAAGAGATATATAAATGAAAATCACAAATGCAAGTATGTTCATACAGTAATTTAGTAAAATAATTTGAATAGGGAAGAAGGTGGGCTAACACTCTATTGAAATTCACTGAAGCTCGGTTAAGCTTGAGTTTGAAATTTTGGTTTTTTGAAATTGAAAGTGGGTGTTGTTGGAATAGATTAGATATATCTCAAGGAGTTTGAAACACAATTTGAGACGAATTGTGGATATTTGAGGTGGTTTGAATTCAAATTTGAGCCAAATTCGAAATAAAAGACAAACATAGACGAAGATCAGATGTGTATCACACCGTGTATCTTCCGTATTTGTGTTTCACTTATGTATCATATGTGTATCTCTTGTATATTTTTGTAAGTTTGTGTCTGAGATTTATGCGTGATACATGTTTGGTACATGTGTCATAGAGGAACTTTTTAAACTCGAATTTAACTACAAATTTTGATTCCAAATCCCCTCCAATCTTCCTCAAAATTTATATATTGCATCATCTACTTGTTCTCAATGAATTTCAACCATACCCATTGAAAAAAATATTAATTTTTCTTTTCCCTAAATATATTCTTCGGTTAATTATCTAAAATTATTTTCTGCATATGAAGTAAATATTTTAAATTGCAGAGACATATTAACATGTGACTATTACATTTTAAGTGTTTGGTACGGAGAAAATTATTTTCTATAAATAGTTTCTTATTTTGTTTTTTGCTTTTTGGGGGCTTAAATATTTTGAAAATTATTTTACGACTTCTCCACCAAAAAGAGAAAAAGCATTTTCAAAATTCTTTCTCAACCTTTCTCACTTTATTCCCCATCCCCATCCCCACCCTCCACCCCTACCCCCACCCANTTGCCTATCAAAATTATTTTCTACTGTCTAACCAAAAACTAAAATTTCATATAATGATTCATATAATATACAACTTATTTGAAACTTTCATTTAATATTCGTATAAAATTATAGTTATAACTAAATACAATTTTCCTATAAAATTTGCACATCTTTAATACATCATTTTCTTCTTCGAATATAATCTAAAAATTCATCTAAAACTAATTTAATCTTCACCAAATGCCCTAAAAATTGCATTATAAACCCCCAAGGATATTTCTGGCTGTTTTCAACAATAACCAATCTAAATAAATAATAATTTTAAAAAATTCAAATTCAAAATCAAAGCTTCTAAACTTTTTTTTATGGTTGTCAATGTCTCAGGAGGTAGTGGACAAGGACTGATTCATTGGTGACATGCAATGACGTCAAATTCATTAAAGAAAAAGGAGATGAGAAAAGAAAAGAGAAGCATAGATTATCTAAAGAAGAAAAATAGGGTAAAAGAATGAGAGAGATAGAGATAGAGAGAGAGACATGAAGAGGGAAGGGAGATCACCGAATATGTAGGATTCAGTTACCAAACTAAAAGGCAACAATCAAGGAATACTTAATTAATACTAATTTGTATAGAATTAATAATTTTTATATTAACTTGTAATAAAGTTAAAATCTCAATAGTGAGGGTAAATAAGTTTCAAAACTAGTATAGCTAAGTAAAAATCTCAAGAGAAAAGAATAGTAGCTCTGATAGAATATTAAAGATTGTTTTGGTCCTATATTGTGAGCCTGCAGGGAATGAGCCCAAACTAGAAATTTCACATAATGTGTGTACAATTTAGAAAATATTACGCGACACAACAAACATTTACACTGTATTTATCATTCGTAGCTATACTTTCAGCGAATTTACCGTTCGTAGCTATATTTAAATTTTATAGCAAATCTTTGAAATAAGATATTAATTATTTTGAACTGAAATAAGAGAGCACCAAGCTCTTGTAACTCAGTTGGTTAGAGGGCTCACTTAGTTAGTGGAGGTCTTGAGTTCGATTTTCAACAAGAGCATTTTATTTTTCTGTATTTCGCCTTAGTTTATTCAAACGAATACAGTCGATAAATGTTGTATCGTTTGTATACACCCATGTAAACAGTCGATACATGTTGTATCCTTTGTATATACCCTTGTATTTCGCGTTGGTTACAGTTGATACATGTTGTATTTCTTACGCGACTGTAGTCATTACGCGTTTGAATACAAGTAATACAAGCTAGTAACAATTGAATAGTAGCTACGAATAGTTATTAGGTAAATTGTAGCTACTAGGCTCTAAACTATAGTGCTTTATGAAAATTCCTCTACAATTTATTGTAGTTGTACAAGTGCATATTGTTAATGGTCAATGACATAAATAATCTTGAAAGAAGTTGGTCTTGAACTTTTGACCTTTGAGATAGGTCACCTAATCAATCGGCAAAGTTTTAAATTTAACAAATTTTGTCCCATGAGAAAACTTTTAACTTTTGACCTTGAAGGTTGGCCCATTGATTATATGACCTGCCCAAAGTTGGCCCATTAAAATATTAAAACCAATTCAAAGTTGGAAACAAGTTCTATGGTCGACACCACATCATAGAAGCATCAAAGTTAATACCGACGGAAGCTACATCAGAGAAAGCAACAAAGCTAGAATAGGAGGTATCGTAAATGATATCCATGCATGGTGATCTAATCACGGAATTCTCGATGAGTGTACAATGCGATAATAACAATATAGCGGAAGCATTTGCTACATAGTTTGGAATAAAAGGTTACAAACTACAAGGATACACTATTTTTTTCTCGAACTCGACTCTATGGTAATTACAAATATGTTGATAAATAGGGACATTGACAATTTGAAAATCAAGCAAGTGATTGGCAGAATGCTGAGCATCATACAACAAGCTAATATGAGGGTGAATCATTGCTTTAGAGAAATAAATCAAGTTGCATATTGTCTTGCGAAGTTGGTTTCTACCTCGGGCAACAATATGACTATCAACTCATATCAACAACTCCCTAGAAACGCTAAGGGCTACTTTCTTCTAGATAAGTGGTAAATGTCCAGCATGAGAACCAAATATGACAAAGCTAATATTTTTGTTAGTTAAGATGTATATTTTGATGTCTAGAAGGAGAAATCTCTGTACTTATCTCTTTCTGTTTTTTGGTGATGGAATTACTAAGTTGTATTTTCTGAGGTAAGGTCTAGCCACCCTCATTGAATGTTTTTGTGAGTACAACTCCCCTCAGCATTGCAACTGGCTAATTTCATTAAACCATAAACCTATCCAAAAGCAAAAAATTTAAAACTACCCTTAATGGTTTTCTATTTATATCATTTTCTCTATATTTGACATATAGTTAAATAATTATAAATCTTTAGGTGGTTCACTTTACTTTTAAATGAGATTTGTCCCCCTCAAATCTGATATCTCTTGTGAGCTAATTCAGTTATAGGGAAAACATTTAACCACCAAATGACTATACCGAAAAAATAATTGATTCATAATTGTTATTTTTATTAAACCAAGCAATGTCACTTAACCTCTCTCACATATTCTTGTGAAGACTAAATTTTCATTAAGTCCCACTGTATTGATATTTTAAATCTATACCTTTTTCTTCTTGTATTATAATTGATTATTTTCAAGATATAAAAGGTATTTTTGCCTCTTTGGATGTTTCCTTGTATGTAAGAAAATTTATATGTTCACCCTTAATTTCTACATTCAATCTATTCCCACTTTCTTATATATTTATATTAGATTAAGCACATATGCAACTGTATATCTTGCTAATTTGTATTTAATAAAAACCTATATGTAAATCTCCTTCCTGAAGAAAATTTCCACCGGCAATTAGTACAGGGTGTAGGTAAATCTCTCTCTTTAAATATTGTTAAAATCTGTGTACGGGTAAAATTGGGGATAAATTGACCACTGATTTACCGGTAAAGAAACGAGAGGGAAGGACGGTCTGACATGACCTCGAGTAAATGTAATAACCCAATAGGTCGTTTTGTGTAATTTCCGCCTCTTTACTCTTTTTTATACTTCACACATGTGTGTTTATGATTTTATAACTTGCTTGGTTGGTTAGTTTAGTTGTGGAAAGTTTTTCGAGTTGATTTGGACCCTTGAT